ACCTGGCCACAGAGCCCCAGTGGCCTGATGTGGGGCCACTTGGATGATACCCATCCTTCCATGAAGCTGAGGGGCTTCCAGAGGCCTGGCTTGAGGCTGCGAAGCTGGAGGAAGTGGGGATGGCGTGGGGGCAGAGAGAGTCCTGTTTCCGCGGGACCCTCCTCTCTTCCCCCTTTAGACACACCTGGGGATAGAGTCTGTTACCTGCCCTCCCCTCTTGCAGAGCTGGGACTGCCAGCCTGGAAGGATTGCTCTATTGTTCTAAATTGAGCGTGGCCAGGCTGGGGGGCGAGAAGCAATCTGCAGGGCCCAGATATGCATTCTGGGAACCTGCATCCCTGCCATCTCCTGGAGAAGCAGGGGACAGTGGCAAATGACCTTTGCCTGTGCTGATCCCTCCAGGAAGACCAAAGGGAAAGGAGTGAGGGCGGCTCGAAGCAAGCTGGGGGCCATCCCTGCGCAGGAGAGGGGTCTGGTTCCTTCTGGTGAACCCTGCAGCCTAGGTGGGCTCCCTGAAGGTGTGTGACCGCTTGGGGTGGCTACCGAGCTGGGGCAGCCCTCCCTCCTCCCCACTCCTGGTGGAGGGGACCTTGCCATGTGTCCCTCCTGACACTGGGCATCTTGTCTGCCCTGGCAAGCCATTCTGTGCCACAGTGTCCCCAGGTCTAGCTGGTCACCAGGAACAAGACCCCGGGTTCTGGCAAGCTGGGCTGCCTGGCCACCCTGAGACCAGGGGAGCCTTTCCTCTCCAGCCTTGTCCACAAGGAGGACAGATTATGAAGTAGGTGGGTCTCCTAGGTGGGAGCAGCTTCAGGGCACCCCTTCCTGTGCTGGGGTCACTGTCACATGTCCACTGCCTCCTTATCATAAAGAGCTTAGGAGCCAGGCACCCAGAGAGATGGGGCCAGTATCACCTTTGTTTATAAAGTGGGAATGTGAAGTTCAGAGAGACTGGGTACCTGCCAAGTTCACCTGCTAGGAAGGGCAGAGCTGGGTTTGAATCAGCCTCCAATGCCGAAAAGTCCTTGCTGTCAGCATTTCGCTCTGCTGCATGCCCCCACCCCCAGCGATGGGGTCCTGCAGCCCCTTGTTCACTACCAGGGTGAGCCGGGAACGCTGGGCTCTGGGGGTGGGTGGGGTAGGTGGCTAGACGTCTCTTAGCGGCCCCTCCCCAGGAGGAAACCGCATCCTCCATGTGCTCCGGCAAATCCGGCATCTGAAGTGGAAAAACCCCACACAAATCAGGGACAGCTGGGCCTGCCCTCGGCCGCAGCCCCCTCCCCTTGGCTCCCCTCGCGGGCTCTGGATTCCAGCAGGCTTCGGGAGTGGGTCTGGGGGGTAAGGGTGTGGTTCTAGAGGGGCAGTTCCTAGAAGCCCCACACGTGTGAAATCGCCTCCAGTTGTCCCCCACGGAGGGAGGGACTGCACAGTGTTATTAATCATTTTCCAGAGTGGGGCAGCTGCTTGCACACCTCGTCCTGCTGCCTGTGGGGGCCCAGGCTGGGGGTGCCCAACCTGGGGAAGGGACAGTCTTGGAAAGAGGTGGAGAGGGGTGTGGGGGAGGGGCTCACATATAGACTCGCAGTCTCTCTCTCTCTCTCTCTCTCTCTCTCACACACACACACACACACACACACACACACACACAGCGTCAGTCACTCAGTCACTCAACAAACACTCATGAGCACTCACCACGGTTAGGCGTGGAGCCACAGAAGGGATCAAGACTGACCCTGTCCCTGCCCTTGCAGAGCTCATGTAGGTGGAGGAGACAGATGGGGATCAAAATCACTCACAGAGAAATAATTACAGTCTGTGAAGGGGACACAGACATAGCTGGGCAGCTGGGTCACCGATTTGTGAGGCCACGCTGGGCCTTCCTCCCATCATGGCCTTGCCCCCCAGGACTCCCTCCCTAGACTCGTCCTCTCTGTCCCCCTCTGCTCTGCCTCCTAGTCATCTCCCCCAGGGATGGTGTTTACTTGGCCCCCACAGCCTGAGCAGCTCATCCCATGTCCCGCCCTGAGTCCTCTCTCCTCCGCAGCCACCACATCAAACCTGACTCTCCACGTGTCTGGTGGCCAGCCCAAGGAGGAGGGACACACAGCCCTCTGCCTGGCCATACTGTCTGGGCAGCGGGTCCAGATGAAGCGAGAGGGGAATGGAGCTCAGGCCATGTTGCACCCTCAAAACCAAGGGGCCCCCGGGAGATCTGGCTGGGCAGAAGGGACTTGCTGATGCCTCTTTCCTCTTGACAGAGGAGGTGCAACCAGATAGGGCAGGAGGTGGGTGACCCTCTTGGGGTGCAGGGACAGCCACCCACTCCATGCCCTCATGGCCTGGTTTATTTTGGGGCCCCAAAGTCACTTTTCATCATGTGGCTCAGAGAGGCAGATCCACTATCCCTAGGTCACACATGAGGGAGCCAATGGGGAGCTGAGGCTGGACCCTGATGGCAAGGCAGGGCAGAGGCAGAGTGGCCATCTGGACGATGACTCAGACACCCTGGGGAGGAGGGAAGGCAGCAACCCTGTGGGTGAGGAGCACAGAGAGGCAGATTCTGAAATCCCCAAATATAACCTTCAAAAAGACTCTGCATAAAGGGCTAAACATAGAGTTACTGTCTGGCCCAGCAATTCCACTCCTAGGTGTCCACCCAAGAGACGTGAAACATATGTCCACATGAGAACTTGTAAATGAACGTTCACAGCAGCATTATTCACAATAACTAAAAGGTGGAAACAACCCAAGTATCCATCAACAGATGAATGGATAAAGAGAATGTGGTCCATCCATATGGCGGAATATTACTCAACCATAAAAAGGAATGAAGCACTGACATGTGCTACAATGTGGATGAGCCTTGAACACCTTATGCTGAATGAAAAAAGCCAGTTTCAAAAGGCCACATATTGTAGGATTCCACTGCTATGAAATGTGGAGAAGAGGCAAATCTACAGAGACAGAAAGTAGATAGCAGGGCCAGGGGCTGTGGGAGGGGGGATGGGAGTGACTGCTAACAGGTGCAGATCTCTTCTGGGGGGATAAACGCGTTCTAAAGTGCATTGTGGTGATGGTTGCACAACATGGTGACTATACTGAAAAGCACTGGATTCTACATGCCAAGTGGCTGAATTGTGTGGTAGGGGAATTATATCTCAATGAAGCTGTTACTTCAGAGTCGGGACCCAGTTCTCCATCTTACAAAGAAGGAACCGGAAGCTCTGGGGTGGCAGGAGCCTGAGGCCACGTGCTAGAGGACAGTGGGGCTGGACAAGCCTCAGGCCAGCCTAGGAGGGCCCACTCCTCCCACCCTGGGGATGGGCCCCTGGCTGTACCCCAGTTCTTCTCCCCGACCCCGCCCTCTGCCTTGTGCTCTCTGCTGCTGAGCCTCTCCCCACACTGCTGACAGGGATGCTGCCTTCCTGCTCCTCACCTGAACATCACCTCCTCCAGAAAGCCTTCCTTGACCTCTCCCCCATTCACATCCTTCCACCAGCCAGCTGTTACTGAGTACCAATTGGGTGCCGGGCTCTCTTAGGTGCTGGAGACACACTGGGGAACAAACGTACCAAGGCTGCCATCCTGGGTGTCCCTGGATTTGCATCCAGCCCTCAGCTGACAGCCAGATGGTGGGTGGAGGGAGAGAATCAGCTGCCAAAGTCTCCAAGCCAACTCTTGTCCCTGGACCTCACTCCCTGCCCCCAGTGCGTCAGGTGGCATGCTGTTCTTGGTAGATTCCTCCTGAAGAGGCCTCAAGTAGGTAGGGGTGTGTGTGTATGTGTGTGTGTGAGGGGGGCGGGACTAAGGAAAAGGCATTCCCAGGAGGGAACAGCATGAGCAAAGGCTAGGAGGTGGGAAGGACTATGCCTGTGCTGGGGCAGGGAGATGGAGGGGCCACCACGGTTTGATGCTGCAATTTGGAGTCCTGAGTGGTGGCTGCTGGGACCGTGGGTGGGTGCTGCAGGTGGAGTGGGAGCCTCCCCAGGATAGCTCTGAGAACCAGCCCGTCTGGAACAAATCCCATTTTAAGCTGGACCAGAAGAAGAACTTCCTGTGACCCTGCATGTGACAGCATGCGCCCAAGACGGTACTGTGCCAACAACCTGCCCATGGGGCTCCTGGCTGAGTCTTGCCCTGACAAGCAAGTGCAGGTCTGGAGTCTGGGACCTGGGCTGGGGCCCCAGTCAGTGGTCTTCAGCCCACTGGCTCTGCAGAGCCCCCTCCCGCCAGGGCTGCCTCTGGGTAGGAGCCCTGGAAATGTCTGTCGATCATAGAAGCCCCTGCCCCTTGGAGCCGCCCCAGGCTGCTGGGACTTGTCCAGATGCCCTTAGGGCCAGGAACAGCTCATTCATTACCCAGGAGAACCCAGGGCAGTGGCCTCTGGAGGTTGGCTGGAGAGCAGCTAGCCTCTTCAGGGAGCCAGTGCCGACCTGGCACCAACTGTGCAGCCAGGAAAGCCAGGGCAGAGATGGAGAGAGGACACGGGTCGATTCTGTCTTTACCCGGGACTGTTGCTCACCCTCTTGGAGCCCAGCTCTTCTCCCTGCCTTCCTTGTGCTGTGCTGGGGATTCAGTGAAACGGGGGGTGGGGGTGGTGGGGGGTGGGGGGGGTGGTGCTGGTGGTGGTGCATAAAGCTCCCACAGAGTGTCCAGCGCCCAGCAGGTCCCGTAACTGTGAGCGGTCCCTGAATCTCACCGCCCCTCAGAGGGAGCTCCTAGGACAGGACCTGGGCTCCTTCTAGTTTCCCCAGCACAGGTCTCTGGAATCCTTCACCTCTCTAATAGGAGCCACTTTGGCAGCGCCAGAGATCGGTTGCTGACATCCCAGGGGAACACCAGGTGGACAAGGCTGCACGGACAGACGGTGTGACACGGTAGAAAGGGTCAGGAAACTGAGGTCCGAATTTCACTGGGCCCTTGGGAAAGACCCCTGTCCTCTCTGAGCCTGTCACCCCACTCCTGGCGAGCGCTCTCCAGCCGCCAGGGCTGCGACCGTGATGAATGGCAAGCCGACTGTCAGCAAGGCACGCCCCGTCCCCGCCGCAGACTTCCCTCCACGTTCCCGGGGACCCCTCTGCGCACGAGTCTACGCGCCTCCTTGGCCCACTTGCTCCGTCCGCGCACCTGCCAAGGCGCCTTCGTCCGGGAGGGGCGGGGATCGGCCTTCTAAGAGCGGGTCTTGGGGCGGGCGGCGCAGCCCCGTCACAGCCTTGCGTCCCGACCCGCCGCCGCAGCTTCCCGGCGCGCAAAAGTGAAGACGGCGGAGCCGAGCGGGTTGGAGCCCAGAGTCTCGGAGCGGGCTCGTCAGGGAAGTTGCTGATGCTCAGAGTCGCGCCACGGCGTCCGTGGGTGCCGGCATGTCGCAGGCGGGGCAACGGTCTAGGCTGGGCGGGGCATCCCGGCCCCGCCCCCAGGCCCTCCCCGCGTCCGTTCCGGGGCGGCAAGCCTGCCCCGCGCCGAGCAGAAGCCCGGCGCCGGCTGACTGAGCGCTGCGCGGGCGGGATGTGCGCCCTCCTGCAGACCCCGCTCCCGGGCCTGGGCGCGGTGCGGCCCCATGGCAGG